CTACACTGCTGAGATCTAAGACGTTAGCATGTTGTGATTGATGTGGCTAAACTTAGTTCTCTTGCTCTTTCCTTTTCTTTTGTGTAGGACAATGAAATCCCAGAATCCAAGAGAAGCCACAGTCCAGGAGCCCCACAGGTGGAGAGGTTACCTCTCACTCTGCCCGAAAGGCCTCCAAGAGTGCCTCCCCGAGGTGCAAGCAGGTAATGCATATGACTAAGCTTGATCACAAGCTTCCAGTGGGCCAGTGTCTATAGCATTATGTGAACAGCAAGGAAAAGTCCATGTGTAATGCATCCTTTCAGAGAAGTTGTGAGGCTGTTTGCAGGAAGCAAATGTTGCTAATAAATTGTGGAATTAATTTGCTCCTCCATAATACTTAGAAATGGTTTCCAAGTTAGTAATCTGACTGCAGCAATCCTTTTAGTGTGTGAGCCAAACTAATAAGTGCTGTGTTCCTGGAACATAACATGTTCCATGTTGAATTAGATTGATCCAACTAATCTAGTATCTTTCCTCTTAATACCTGATCCTTTTGAAAAGAACTCATTGTAGGCATAAGGAATTACCTTCAGTGGGTGAGCTATCTTTATACTCTGAGCAAGACTTGTTTTGTTTCGTCTCATCTCAGCACAAAAGTTGCACTACTTTGACTAAAGGGTTGCTTTTAACAATGTTTAGATAAGTTGTTACAAACTTAATTTAAAAACAACCCTTTAAGTAAACCAGCACACATATGTGTAGTCCATCTTGGGGATCCTACCTTGCATAACTGCAGAGATTAATGATATTTTTCAGCTGTTACAGTAATCCAGATACAATTGGTGACCATCCTCAGAAGCAGGGAATTCTTCATGTTAGCTCAGCTCTTGAACTAGTAAGCCAGAACCCTTTTGAAACTGCAGGTGCCAATTATATTCCTCTCATCTTTTTCATTCCAAGATCTTCAGAAGAAAGATGCTATATAAGTTCAACATTTTACCCTAACAAAGGACTCTACAGACAGTAAGCAGCCCCCAACCCTCCTGTCAGACAGGCGGCTACTATATTATTGCAACCATGTAAAGATGGAGAAGAAACAGGGAACAAATGACTTGGCCAGCATTATACCAGACTCCTGGGTTCTGTCCCTAGTTGTGCTGCTGCTGCCAGTCCTTGCTAACTAGCATGCAATACACATGTTAGATATCACAATGTATATTGTTCTTATATTAGATATTAAATATAATTTGCTATTCTAGAATTCTGTTCCCTGGTTTCTGATATGCTCCTATTATGTGTCTTGTTGCAGGCCTGTTAGCAGTGAAAGCCTTCTTCCTCCACCTGTACCCCCAAGAGGTCGCTGAATCTCAATGTATTTTGGAATCTGGGATTTTCTAGAGCATGTGTGGGGAGGGAGGGGGTGATATTTTTGGGTCTTTTACAATTATTTATAGGTGGAAGTAAGGTTATTTTCCTCCCTCGTGTATCTTTTTTTTACTGAGATATCTCTCAGCTTCTGGTGCCTTTTTTCTTGAAGGCTGTTTGTACTTCTGAATTTTAAGGAAAAACCATCTGAATTGACAAGGAGAATTCTGATGAGCTCTCTGACAGCTCTGAATCAAGATAAGGAGCTAATCCTCCCCAGTGAAGAGCATCCCAGCCACCATCCCTTTGGTCATTTTAATAATTATTTTTTAAAAAAGGATTTAATGGAAAATGTTCTTTTGCAAAAAGTTCTTTGAGACTTTATTTGAGGACTGCTCATTACAGGCTTCACAAAAGGAGTATACCAATTAATATGCTATAACTTGGACACTGGGTTCATTTGTATCAAATCCCAGGTAGTTTAGGATTTCTCTTCAAGAAGGAATCGCTAGACAATGGTTTTTGCAGAAGGACTCTCTGAAGACTATTTTATGCAAGCAAATGTTCTTGTATACATTATTTTAATCTAATTGTTTTCTTCTTCCCCTTTGTCCCTGGATGGGATTTTTGTTTGCAAGGTTCCATGTATGCTGCTTTTGGGAATGTGAGACCCCCTGACAGTGACAGATGGATTTGCTCTTGGGCACAAAGCAGCAGTTTAGGAGTCTTCTGGGGATTTTGTTACTTTAAACAAGTAGTTCTCAACCTTTTTAAGACTCAAGACACCCTTTGTTAGATTCAAGGTACCCCTTTGAAATTGCAAGCTCGTAGTTTTGACTTGTTTTTTGATTACAGAAAAATAATAGAGAAATTCTTCTGTAGCAAAGATCTCAGAAAGACCACAAATTGGAATGCTTTTAAAACTATGGATTCCTATATGAAATATGTGGGCTTATTTTATGAACCATATTTGCATGCCTAACAGTGCTGATGTTACATGACATCTTACAGCACCCTTGAAAAGATCTCAAGGCACAACAGCACACAGGTTGGGAATCACTGTTTTACATCCAAGAAGCTGACTTCTTGCATGAGGGGAAAGAATATACAATGCTCCTCTACCTTTCTTTCTCCCCTGTGCACTTTGGATTATCCTCACCAGACATCCTGAGGCTCTTTGGTTAGGCTTTATCACAGCTGATCTCCTCCTAAATGCATCCCCCTTACCAGTATTAGCTGTGTGTTTAATCCTTGCTCTTTGTCTGGGGTATGCCTTCCCTAAGCATCCTTTCTGGCAAGGTTAATCTGCAGTAGAAGCATCTCACCTGTTCAGCTTGAGAGTGTAAAACTTCCACAAAGGGCTTCTCTGTTCTGTACCCCTCCTACCATGCCAATGGCACACAGAGCAGAAACCACATGAGCCCTTATTGCAGGGGATGGAGCAGTTGTCTTTGAGACCTTCCTTAATTCTGCCCTGGCTCACAGCTGAGGAAAGAATAATGGGCTCCAGCTGTCCCTGGATGATGTGGCCCATTGGGTGTGATCCACAGCCGGCACAGGTTAGAGCTGCCTGTGGCTGTTTAGCCCAGGGTTAGAGAATTTTTTAATTTTCAGCTTATGCCCCCTCTCCCTCTCCCTTGAGTCTTTGTGGAGGAGAGAAGCCATCCCTTACCCTGGGCTCAGGAGAAGCTGATCGAATGCCTGTGCTGTTCTCTTGGGTTCCCACAACCCAACAGATAGGCAAATGGGATAAGAGTTGCAGTTCTGCCTCTCATGCAGTGCAGTATGTGGCCACTTGAGGGACCTGCTGAAGAGCTGCAGCAAAGAAGGAGCAATAGCTGTGCTCTATTTCTAGCTCACCTCTGGGCTGCTGTGGGGGGTAGCATTAAAGGTACTTCACTGCTTACCTCACTGTTCTTCAGGGCATGGGTGGGGGTGGTGATCAGGAAATGCAGCTAAGTTCACAATCAGATACAGACTCCCTTCTCAATGCAGGATTTTCCTTATAAGCCACAGGCTGCACAATCCTTTACATGTATGTAGTGTCCCGTCCAGTGACCAGGTGCGACTCTAAACACTACACACTCTGAATAGCAGTTTGCAGCATCTTGCTCTCTGGTCCTTTGAATGGGAGTGGAGGGGCAGTGACTACAGACAGCTACAGTGGTCAAGTCCCTGCCACTGTTCTAGTGAACAGAAAAAGGTCTTTTTGCTTATTGAAGAGGAAATTGATACCATGGGTGAATGAAGGAGAATGGATTAAGAAAATAAAACTGAAGATGTTAATCCAAGAGCCTGATGGTCCCTATTCAGCCCTTGCTACTGCTGTTCTTTGTATATAGCTCCTTGACATTGTGCTCTGATGTTGTCCTAACCTGCAAGCTGTCCAGTGACACCCTGGCTTCACTGGTTCTCCCTGTGTGCTGCTCTTAAACTCTGAGATCAGTGATGCAGCATTACGGGAATTAAACTGCTTTTGCATCTTTTCCAGGCACCAAGGAGGGTAGGGAGGGAACTAAAGGGTGTGGGGGAGATTACAAAGAAGGCAGAAAATAAAAAGCAAAATGTGAAAAGTGCCATGAAATTGCCAGCTCTGAGGAAAGCTTATGGCAAGGCAGTGAGGCAATGGGACTTTGAGTTTAGGCACTGCCTCAACTCAAAGTCATGAGGGATCTCACTGTGGGCAACCCTCATGAGACTGTCAAATATGCTTTCTTTAACATGAGTTCATCTGAACTCAACTAGAGAATGCATTTCCAAGCAATCTTAGCATTGCCACCTGTTGGACTGTCATTGCAACAACTGAATTGCAAATGCTGAGTTTAGGAGTGAGATGAACTATGCTTGTTCAAGCTGCTTAAGAATGAGTTAATAATAGCCCTTAAATCTCTGCTTAGTGTCTCCTTCTCTTTGAAGCTCAGAACTTCCCTATGTTGAACAGTCTCATAAATGCAAACACCAGTGGGACTCTACTAGTTTCAGGAGCCTGTTGTTGCTTTAGGAGAGACCCGAGCTGCAGCAGTGGGTTCCAAGTGCATTACAAACCTGACCTGTTCAGAGCCTATAAGCGCTGTGAGGAGATGCCTGTCTCCAGGTTGTGTTTGGGCAGGTATTCCCAAAATGAAGTTTGTTTCCCATGGCCATATTTTCCTTGTGACGTAAACTCAGTTTTAAATAGGTTCCTTTTATCTGTAGGCTATAGATGTGTTGCATATACATGCAATGCACATGGTCCCTGCCTAAGCTGCAAACTGCACCAAAATCACCAAACTGCATCCCCGCAGTCTCCAGTATTTCTGCCTCTGCTCAGAATGCAAAAATTCCTAGTTACACTTCTGATCTTTCACTTGTAATTCACTGATTCAAATGGAGTCTGGTCTGCAGTGACAGTCCGGCTGGTCAGTGAAAAGGGTTTGCTCTTAGAGAAGTGTGAATCATAAATCCCACCCACCACAGCAGATGGGTTTGCAGACAGACGTAAGGACTGAGTGAGGCCAAATTTTCCTTCCCGTCACAGGTGGTGGGCCATCCAGTTTAGAACTGACATATGCTAGCTGGCCAGTGTGAGAAAGCATGTGTCACTTCTCCCTCAGCTGTATCTTTCTCCGGCACTCTACTTATTTTTAAGTATGAGACAGTTGGAGCAATTTTTGACCAACATTTTCCCTTGTGGGACCAGTCCTGCCTCCACTAAAATCAGTGGATGATTTTGCCATGGACTCAATGAAAGTAGAGTCATTCCCTATGGAAAATGCCCATTCATGAAACAGTTTGAATTAAAGCTTAGTTTGTTACAACAATGAAGAAAGTAAATTTGACATGTGAGGCTGAGGAGAAAACATTTTATGGATTCTGCAGGCTGTGCCTAATGGAGAAAGTAAATCTATGTTAAAGTCCATCAATCCATATGAGAAAAGACATGAAGGAATACTTGTGTTCCTCTGACTTCTTATGATAGCTCTGTGTGAATTTATTTATTTTTGGCATTGTGCAATATTTGATATGAGAAGAATGCAATGTTTGCTGTTGGTCTTTTGGGAAATGTAAATGTCTTATTAAAATTGCTTTTGTATTCCTTTCATTTAAAGATTGTTTGATCAATGGGTGCTTAATGCTGTGTCTGTTTTTTTACTTCAAGCGTTTAAGTTGTTTGGGATATTTATAAATACACATGCCAGTTTTGTAGAATAAAGTTGCAATAACTGACAGGGGAAACTCACCAGTCCCTTCAGTTTGAATAAAATTTTATCCAGGTTTTCAAAAGCATATGCACATCAAATAGGAAATGTTTTTTGCAGTTGGGAGTCATATGGCACATATGTAACAATGTTGTGTACATGCATTAGACGTGGGTTGGCATGTGTGGATGGCACCAATTGAAGTGTGGACAGACTAATTTACCCTGGATAATTTGGATTGGATTTGTACAGTGACGCAAATTACATTGATATAAGGACAAGATAAACTACAGCTGTCCCAGGATAGGAAATGATATATTATAGCAGAGGTTCCCAACCACTGGGCTATAGCAGGTTGGCTGCCGGGTTGTGGCACAAGCCCTCTGCTCGGACCCTCATCTGTCCGCCTGGGCAAGCGGCTTCTGGGGTTAAAACTAAAATTCCAGGGTTAGAGTTGCATGGTAGGGAAGCCCTGGGAGGGAGGCAGCTGGCTCTGCGTGCCCTATCCTGCTCCCGCCAGGCCGTGGTATAAAAAAGGTTGGGAACCACTGTATTACAATGCCTTGCCCTTAGGTGTTGATGGGGCCAGGAACAGCCTGCAGCACATGTCTACCCCCTCTCATCCCACTCTATGGTAGCAGACAGACGACCCCTACATTGGTGTCACTTGGAAGGGTAGAGTTGTCTCTCTCATTCTTCTGAGGAGTGGCTCTCCACTAGACTCTGCAAAGTTACCCTGACTTAGGGATTTGCAACTGAAGTTCACCATGGTAAATATTTCATCCATCCATACCTTCTCTCTTGAAGAGCTGGACACAACTCTCAGCGCTGTTCTGCAGCACTAAGCCAAACAATACTGCTATAAGCTAACATGTACAAAATCACTTTGCTAATAGATATGGTCTTTTTAAACTGCGCTTCCCTGAAGCAACAAATAATGCTGCATTTTATGTATGCTTAATCCACTCTTTCTATATTTCAGTCAACTTGAATTGTCATTTTGAGTTGGTTTTATTTTCCAGTTCTCATATGCTTATGCCAGTGCTACTGCTCAGATTAAGGATAGGATGGGCAACATTGATATCCATACTCAAAATATCCAGGGAATATTTGATGGGTTAGGTTTACTTTTACAGAAAACACTGGGCGTTTGCTACTTGGCAGTCTCTCTAATGGCTGATGTGCATTTGAGTGCTGTATTAGAAGGAAGGAAACCCACTTGCTTCTGCCAGTGTTTGTTCCTGAAACTGTTCCAGTTGACTTCCATGTAGCTCTTCTGATGCACCTTGACTAACTTCTGTTTACCAATCTATTCTGTTCTAGGACTGGCCCCTCATGTATGGTTTTGTCCTAGAACGCTCACTGCTACTGCAGTCCTCTGCTCTCCCTCAAGCACAGGCTGCAGGCAGCACCACGTTGCACAGCACCACAAATGTGCACCGTGGCTTAACACAAAGTCAACCACTGTCATTGCCTGGACTATGTTGGGATGTTGTTGGTAACGCAGCTCAGGGTCCAATCGACTGGACTAAATCCCTAGAGTAGGGAAGACTTATCCTGCTATGGAATTTGATGTTGAATCAATCCTTGGTTGCAAAATTTGTTTCAGAGTCTAAGTTCCATGTTAAGGAATTGTCAGAGTGCTGAATGTGTTACTTCAGGACCAGAGTGCCTGAGGCGGGCACCTGTACCATGCAGTATTTTTTATTAATCTCCTACAATTGCATTTTAGTTGTGATGTGTGAAAGAGAGTTATATTATAGCTGGTACAATGGCTATTTTATGCTTGTGAGCATCAGACTGGAAAAGCTGAACAAAGATCAGAGTATGTTCCCTTTCACACACACCTCCCTCCACTACCACCGGAGGAACTGGGGGAAGCTATAGTTTAACTGAATTACAGAGATTTTAGTAAAAGCTCTGTCAATGCTGTATAGACAATACTGAGAGCTTGTAATCCTTTCATCAGATTTTTGCAAAGCTGGCTGGGTCTTTCCTTTGAGCTCAACTGTTCCTTCAGTTTCCTTGCTGCCCTGACTCTGCAATGGTAGCAGTTACATCTTACATTTCAGGGATTCTTTTTGGAAATAAGCTATTGGTGTGATAGCTTCCAGTGCTTCTGACTAGTTTGTAAAAAAACTTTTTAGTGGCCAGTTTAAACTATTCAGTTTAATTTCACAACAGGCACTATTCTAACAACAAAAAAAGCTTTAGCTTCACAATCCCTTTAAAATACAGGCTTATGTGGTAACAAACGGAGATATTGGCAAGACTCCTTCAGAGGTCTCTGTATTCCATTTGCAAAGTGGGTGTTCATACTCAAGCAAGGTTCTTTGCGTAGATGTGATATCTTTTATAAGACCAACTGAGTAGTTGGAACAAAGTTATTTGCAAGCTTTTGGGCACAAGTACCCTTCTTCAGGTATAAGGAGACTGCTGTTGTTCTGAGAATACCCATAATCATCACCTCACAAATCTCAAAAGGGCCTTCACCCAACAAGGACACTCCTCCAGAGAGATAGATCACACTTTTGCAAGAGCCACCTGGATACCATGCAAAGATTTGATGCAGTACAAAAAGAAAACTAACAGTGTGTGATTCGTGGGGGTTATGACATACCACCCTTCCTGGAACCTACATGGAAAACCCTGAAACAACTGCAACCCATACTAGAAGAAGACCCAATTCTTAAAGAGATCTTTCCAGAACCACCCATCATACCCTTTAAACAAGCACCAAACCTCACTAACCTCATCACCAGAAGCAAACTCCCTATGACCCAAACCACACCTAATGGATCCAGACCATGCCAGGACAAGAAATGCAAAGCCTGTCAACACACCTCTACCACTCCCACAATAACCACATCCCACAACAGAACCATCACCATTCCTGGATCTTGCACCTGCACCTCCAGAAATGTAATGGATCTCATCCAGTGCACCAGATGCCCTGATGGAAAATATGTAGGAGAAACCAAACAACTGTGTACCAGAATAAATACGCACTGAAAATCCATCAAAGACAAAAATATCCAATTACCTGTGGGTGCACACTTCTTACAAGACAACCACTCCCTCTCTGACCTCTCAGTTCTAATCCTTAAAGGGAACTTACAAAACACCTTTTGTAGACAAGCCTATCTAATGAATACAAAAAAATCATGGACTCAATATAGACATTGGATTTATGACACATTACAATCTGCCTGACATCCGATTCACTAGGTACCTGCCTGAACTTACCATTTACATTTCCCCTCCCTTCCTCCACTCCCCCTCTACCCTTTGTTTTCCTAATTTCCAGCTATTTACTTTTCTCACAGACTGCCTCTTTTCCTTCACCCACTTTCCCCCCTCATTCTCCCCCTCCCCTCACTTGTCTACCCATTGTTTTCCACCTATTTGCATTCTCACTGACCTCCTGTCACACCTTTAGCTTCTTTCATTCCCTGGAGATCTTAGAACAACAGCAGTCTCCCTATGCCTGAAGAAAGGTACTTGTACCTGAAAGTTTGCAAAGAATTTTTCCAATTACTCAGTTGGTCTAATAAAAGACATCACATCTGCCTAAAGAACCTTGCCTGCCTATGTCCTTAGACCTACACGGCTACAACCAAAAACCCTGTTCATACTCAAAAGATTGAAATACCATGCTGTATGCTGTCATATAGAGAAACTGTCTCCTACTCCTTCATCAGTATGATTCAAAGAGTGCTTTTGTCCTCAAGATCCACATCAGGAATTAGATTCTCTCTTTTCCAGCTCTGTGTGCCTAGCCTTTATTTGCCTACTTGTGTAAACGTGATTGTTTGACACAGTCACTTATTTGACATGGTCACGGACCTAACCCAAAAGTAAAAGTGTTTTGGGGTGTTTGTGGGCTGTCGTGCATAGATACTTTCCTGAATTAGAGAGTTACTAACATGGTGTTCCATCACTATTTAGAGACAATATTAAGCTGTGTTTAGTTTGACCCTTTTTAACGTTTGTTTGAACCATATTTTTGGTATAATTGTAATTTTGGCATTTTATAAGGTTTGACTTGCAAATGGCAATAAGGTGTTTGTTAGATAAGGTGCTTCTTTCCAGACAATATTATTCACACATCCAAGGAGCAATCAATGAGAATTTGCATTTGAGATGTCTATGCATATTGGTCAACCTTGCAGGTGGGTGCATACCTGAGCCATAACCTATCCCAAACAATGGTGGTGTTCATTTCAGAAAGCAAGCCCTTAGCTCAGACCCAGAACTTATCTAATCAAAGCCTGATATTTCTCACTGTTGGGCTAGGGACAGACATTCAAAAAGCTGGAGCCTGAATTGGTTCAACCTTTACGGGTTAGTCTAACCTGGCTAGGCTGAACTGGTTTGTAACTGCACAGACATGCAAGCACAAGCCTGCAGTTGCTCAAGCTAGGAGCTGGGGCACTAGAGCATGCCCTTGGCTGCAGGGGAGTTGTGCTGGGTGGGGTGGCCAGTCTAGACTGAACTGGCGAGGGGTTTCATTTCCTACTCCTTGTCCCACTGGCAGGAACCTGAGCTGGGTCTTCCGGGTGCTTCCCCTTTGCTCTGCAGCCGCGGGCCAGCATGACCCCTGATGCGCGGGGGGTTATTCTCCCCTCTACCCCAACTGCCCCTGGGGGACTGCAGCCAGGTCCGTCTGCCACAACCATTGCTAACCAGCAGAATAAGTCCCTTCCTGTCCCCTCTGCCAGATGCTGGAGGGAGGGGGAATAACCCCAGTCCCTGCCCCCTCCAAGGGGCCCTGCCAGCTGGTATCTGGCCCTCAGGTCAGGGCTGGATGTGGAGTGGGCTTCCTGGACCAGCTCAGAGGTGGTAGCGTGCTCTGAGCCCACCACGCCCCCCACCCTGTGGAGAACCGGGGGCTGCAGCCTAACAGGCA